CGAGGGCCCGCGCGTCCCGGTGTCCCGGCTGTTGTGTTTAAGCGCTACCCGCGCAGAGCGAGCCGGGCGCGCTGCAGACCTCGCTTCAGCTCCAGCTTGGGGTTATCCTCCCTATCCACCCTCCCTCGTGGGTGGGAAATGTCCCCAGGGCTGGGGCTCGCTACCTGCGGCGCTGGCGCGCGGGGGCTTGGCTCACGTCCTGGGGAGCGCGCTGTGGCCTCTGTCCCACCAGAGCCACAATTATTTTTCTGAGAAATGACACAAACCCCTCCCCTCCCCGCTGCCCCGACTGTCTGAGCAGCCCGAGGAGCTTCACGCTGCGAGGACGCCCGGGTGCCTTCGCAGGGGCACTCGGCTGCGTGCCCTGCGGACCCCTGATAAAAATGTCACGTTTGCTGCAGTGGATGGGAGATAACTGACGCTGCTCCCCCACCACCCCTCGACCAGGATCTTCCCCTTTGAAAAGGACAAATATAACCGAGATGAGTCAGTTCCTCCAAGCTCCCATCCCCTGTACAATATGTAACTGGAATTTTTCATTTCAGCACTCCAGGGGAGGCATAACTGGAGAAGACAATGGAGTCAGCTACGACCCAAAAAAGCAGTGCCAATTCTGTGCGCATGAGAAATAAAAACATTTTTTAATCTAAAAATAAATTAACTCTAAGTGACAGCAAGAGCAGATCTGCATGTACTCACTGTCAGCCCGCACAGGACCAGTCCCTGCTCCTTGGCGCGAGGCGGGTTTGGGTGAATTCCCTGCTCTTTTGGGCGAGGTTGGGATTCGCAGCAGTACCACCGAGCCAGGGAGGCACTCGGCACCTGCACCAGGAACTGGGCTCCCTGAGTTGGCATCGGACCCAGAAGCAAATCCACAGAAGCCAGGGAAACCTCTTGGGTTTATTTTATAACTGCATTACGGCAGTGAGAAGGGAAAAGAGGCTCCACCAAGCTCAGGGCTTGGCTGGGCCAAGAAACTGCACAAACCTATAAAAACCATCCAGCTTCCCGTGATTAAATAAAAGGGTAGCGAGTACGCAAGCGGCCGATGGCCTCATTCTGCAGCTGTGCTGTGGCCACCCCCATGTCACGGAGCAGAACAGATCTCTGGGGCAGCCTCTGCCCAGAGCCCACCCCCCTCCCCTGCCGCTCGCCCCTCTGCTTGCTCCTAACTTGCGTTCGGAGGAGGCAAGGAGTGACTGAGTGCTCGGGTGTCACAGGAGATTGTCTGGATGCTCCAGAAAATAAAAGGCGGGACATGGCCAGGGTCGCTGCCGCAGTGGCGGCAAGATGTTTCTCTCAGCTTCCCTTTGCTCCCGTCGTGCACTGATCACCTTCGCCAAAAACCCCTTCCACGGGGCCACCTACGCAGGCGGTGGCCTGCCGCCGCAAAGGGCTCACAGCCGGCGAGGACAGGACCTAAGGGACAACCGCAGGGCGGAGGGGCCGGGAGCTCCAGACGGAGCAGAGAGATATGGGTAAAGCCATGGCCCGAGCGCGTAACTCGGTTTTTGGCAGCGCACTGCCCAATTTACCGCGCAACGACATCAGCCGCTTCGCTGGCTGCTTCTTTCAGAAACCTCCCCTCTTCCAGCACCAGTGGTCCCTGTCCCCAGCGTGGTGGCAGCTCGCTCCACGCGCATGGCGATCTGACGCCTCCCAGCCAAGCCATGAGGGTATGGACAAGGCAGGTGAGGGGGGACACCCGAAAACCAAACCACGTCGGGACAATCCTCTCCTTTTTCTTAAGACATTATTAACAGGGCTACATAAAAGCCTTCTGCCTCCCATTCTTTGCCTGTCTGCTCAGTTTTACAGCACCGGCTTCACTAGGTTGGGGTTTCTTTTTTTTCCTCTGACTCGACTCCTTGCTGGGTAACACTGTATTTGATATTTTTAATCACTCAGCATGCATCAGAGTTTGGCAGCGGAAGAAAGTGAAGTTAAAAGAGAACAGAGATAGTTCGCGCTTGCCAGGGCTGCCTGCCATTGCCACAACCCCTCATCGCTTGTGCTGCATTTCCCTCTGCTGGAAAGTCACGAGCCGCAGCTGACAAGGTCAATTTAAAAAACGTATCGTCGGCCGGCAGTTATTGACCTTCTGGGATGTGGATCGTTTCTTCAAAGGAAAACAAAAGTCCTGAACCCTTCTACCTTTACTGTACAAACATAAGGACATTACACATGCACACATACAGATGCATTTGTATGTGCATATCAATCTTACTGACAAATCCTTATAAATCATCTACATTTGGCTTTGTAAGGCTGCAATATCCTGGCCACTGCAGCAATGTAATGGAGATTTTGCCTTTCTTTTCTCAGAAGTTGCAGCAAAACCTTTATCACTTTGTTTTCTGTGAGAGCCGCAACTTTCTCCCCGAGCAAACCTGTGGTGGGTAACCCGAGCGGTTCCCGGAGGGGCCGACTGGACGGACGGCACAGACAGAGGGATGCTGTCTCTTGGTTTCTCATCCTACGCCAGGCTCTACCCTGGACCTCGCCGGCGCTTCCAGGTGAGCTGAGGCGCAGCAGAGTTCGTCTCGTTCGCGTGCCGCTTCCTTACTCTCACTGTAAAGTTCGCACCACCCCACTGATTCCTTGGTAGAAGAAAAAAAGGTTGATTAACAGCGTTTACTAAACCGTGGAGTCACTTCAAGCCCGCAGCGGGTTGCCTGCCCGGACATTAGCGTCTGGAATACAGGGGTAGTTCAAAGATCGCTTTCCAGACGGCTCCGAGATGCGGTTGCAAGGCTTTAAATCTGCCTCCAAAGATAAAAAAAGGAGAGTCACCGCTTTTCACCTGCTTCTCCTCCCTTCGTAAGAGAAGTTAAGCCCGTAAAGCCCAAACCACGCATCCAGAACACTGACCCCAGGGTGCCGGAGAGCAACAGCGACCGGGGCTGCCGGCGAGGCCGGGGCCGCCTCAGAACAGCCCCTCGGGACCCCGGGCTCGTTTTAAATCGGGCGGCGGAAAGGGGAGACGACGACTGGAGGCCATCGCGGCAAACCCGGCTACC